GGCAAATCGCACTCTCGCCTGCATTTCGCGCACTCGACACGCACGATTTCCGGAGAGGGTTGCGCGCACACCCGACAAATCGCACTCTCGCCTGCATTTCGCGCACTTGACACGCACGATCTCCGTAGAGGGTTGCGCGCACTAGACAAATCGCACTCTCGCCTGCATTTCGCGCACTCTACACGCACGATCTCCGCAAAGGGTTGCACTTTCGGTTGACGCTATTCGTCCTACCCTCCGCCTTTAAGAAAGAATTTATAAAGTGGGGAAATATTTTTCATTAAGACATCTCCCGTGCTAGTTTTCCATCTTTACCATACTCACACTTGCCCTTCCATAATCATTGCATGCGTGCATACTCACACTTGCATACTTTGACCCTAGCATACTTCACACTTAGATGCTTTCGTTCTTCCAGTATGTATGTGTGTGTAACAGTGTGAGTGTCAAAGTGTAAGTGTGTCAATGTGAGTGTCGAAGTGTAAGTGTTCAGAAGTGTAAGTATCGAAGTGTCAGTGTTCAGAAGTGTAAGTATCGAAGTGTCAGTGTTCAAAGGATTTTCCGGAAGAACCCTTCGCGATGCTTTCGAAAACAAAAATAAAAATAAAACGCGGCCAAAACGATCAATAAAATACGACCGCATTTCACCCGTTAATATCATCCAATTAAACACTTATATTCCTTCTAATAGAATATTAATAAACGGAACGGATATACCCATTCCTACCTATTATTAACATAGTTTTTTCCCCTCTAATTTATAATATTATATTACCGTAGACTTTCATGCGTGATTCCCTATAGGCCGCCATATGCCATGACTTATAAATCCTAACCACAATTTTTTTTCATTACATTGGAAGGTAGAAAGTAGACTACAACCGCTTATACCTCTTTACCCTTATAATTACCTTCCTTTCCTTTTTATTGTTCTTTTCCTTTCTTGCCCTTTCCTTTAACATCTTAAACTCGATCAACATCATTAGCGTGGATCATTAAAGTAATCCATACTTCTGGTAAAAACGATCCCATTCGTCAAATTCAAATCGGATTTGAGTTATCCACCTACACCTCTCAAAAAGAATCGTAGAGTTCAATCCTTCCTAAACCGCTGTTCCTGACTTAACAATCTCATCAAGTGCTTCTTCAAGCTTAAGGAACTAAGGTTGTAGAGCGCTGTTCATCAAAAGTGCCGGCCATGTAATAACTGCTTCCAAAAGTGCTAGTCCTCTAGCCTTTGGCGTAGGCCTCAAAGCTTCGTTCCAACTCCTCCATGCATCAAATTCATTGGAGCCCTCCATTACAGCTTTAACCAATTGTAGTGCCCTGCCCTTCATCATCAACGAAGTTGAACTCCATAGACCTTGATGCACCTGGTTTTCTCCTCTGTAGTTACCAAGGCCATATCAAAGCTCTCATTCGGTTTGTCATAAATCTCCTTCAGATCCTTCGCGCAACCCTCATCCACTGAGCATAGATACTTCTCAAATACCCATGACCACTCTCTAAACGCTTTGATCTCTTCTTCTTTTGCTGCTACTGCTGCTAGTGTTGTTGTTGTTGTTGTTGTTGTTGTTGTTGTTGTTGTTGTTGTTG